AACATGAACATATATCAATACATAAAACTAATTTCTTCTCTTTGTTAGAGTTATCTCCCCAAACACTGTTTTTCTTGTGTCTGCAATACCTTCGCAACCGTGAAAAAAATCGACAATTTTTTTTTCCAAATAGCTCGTTAAATCCTTAGGATGCTTCCGTCAATTTTAACCAAAGCAATACGGATTCTCCATTTGAGATTTATTTCCCCTTTTGTATTCGTCACAAGTGATATATGAATGTAACTTATGAACCGTAAGTGATAGAGACCAAGGTATCTTGATTTGAGGTCCTTGGAAAAAAACAAACAAGGTCAAGGTCAAAGGTCAAGGTCATATTCTTAATTTTGATTTTGGCTTGTTCTCATTTCTTTTTTATAAACAGTACAAGATACCGACAACACGTTTTTATTAAATTGTCATTTGCGACATGTCATAACTCATAAAATTTTAGTTGAAAGGGCGCGTAAACATTAAATGCCCGTTTTCGCCCTTCTTATATTACGAATTATACGTAAAGTGATATTACTCATTAACCATCCATATAATAGACCTAGGGTCTTTTGATTAGAGGTCTATTTTATTACCTTAAAATTGAGGTCATGTCATTGGTAAATTTGACCTTCTAGATTTTAACCTTTGCTTTCAATTCATATTTATATATTCATATAGCCATAAGATTTTCTGTATTAGGTTGACAGCTATATGACCTTGACAAATCAAACCGGAAGTGACCTTGTGAAAGCCGGAAGTGGCTATTTTTGTACTTATTTCATGTAAAATTATATAGAACAACATATTTTTGAAAGCAGATTCAAATTAACTATCAAATAATCCCGGAAGCCACATTTTTTCAGACCGGAAGTAACAAATTACTTCCCTTATTTAAATAAAATTGTATAGAAACCATATATTTTTTGGAATCAGCAAACAATGAGCTATCATTTGACACTCTAACTGACATTTCAAACCCAATTTTAATATTTTCATAACAAAATATATTGTTGGAAGTGGAAAGACCTTCAATTGTTCTCTGAACAATTGGTTTTTAATAATTATCATAATATTTTCTTTTTCCACCACATTTTTGCTTCCGGTGCTTTGTGGTTTCGCAAGATGACGCTTAATTTTTTTGCATATGATATCAAACAGTTATTGCGATTTTGAATCTGACCTTGTTTAGTCGATCATTTTTTATTGTAAGAGTTATCTCCCCAAACACTGTTTTACTTGTGTGCGCATCTCTTCGCAACCGTTAAAGACTACATCAAAGTTATTTCACCAATTTGCTCGTTATATCCTCAGGATATTAAGAATAATTTGGACCGTAGCGATTAACAGTCTCCATATGAGAGTTATTACCCCTTTAGTAATTTAAATAAGAAAAATGTAAATGTAACAAGTAAACCATAAGTGATAGTGACCTAGGTTTTTTTATTTGAGGTCCTTGGTCAAAAACAAAGAAAATAAAGACAAGGTCAAAAGTCAAGGTCATGTTCTAAATTAGATTTTGGCTGATTTTCACTTCTTTTCAGAAACCGTATATGATATCAACAAATCATTTAAACTAAATTGTTAGTTGCGACATGTCGTAACACATACATTGGAAGGTTGCATTGACATTAAATTGGAGTTTAGCCGCTCGTATATTTAGAATCATGCCTATAGTAATATTACTCATTAACCATATATAATAAAGACCTTGGGTCTTTTTATTTGATGTCTTTGGTTTATGACCTTGAATTTTAGTTCAAGGTCAAATGTAGAATTGACGTTCTAGATTTTGACCTTTGCTGTAGATTCATATCTATACATGATAAAGCCTTGGGATCTTTTGAAATAGGTTGGTAGACATATAACCTTGAAAATTTCAAACAGAAGTGTCCTTTGTAAATTGCAAGTAGCAATTTATCTCCCTTATTTTAAGCAAAAGTATATAGAAACAACATATTTTAGAATCAAAGTAAAGTAAGCTTTTATTTGACAACGGAAGTAACTTTCGTGTTACCGGAAGTTGTTTATTATCTCCCTTAATTGATGAAAAAAGTTCCTCAAAAAATGAATTTGCAAAATCAGTGTGTGTTAAGCTATCATTTAAGTCCTTACATTTTTTTTTCAGCATTTTCTTATTTTAAGTTAATTTGAGTGGGAAGACCTTCGTTAATTACTTCTTTTTAACCTTATATGAACACACATTTTTTGTCCGAATACTATCATTTGGATTACTCTTAATAGTTTGTCTAGATTGAGACCGCTTGCTTTAGATTTGATTGATTGATTTTTATGTTTTAACGCCACTTTTAAGCACCGATTTTTGGCTATTTCGTGGAAGCAAGTTTTTATTGGTGGAGGAAGCCGGAGTGCCCAGAGAAAACCGCCGACCTTCGATAGGAAAACTGACAATCCTAGTCAGTTAAGATTGGAGTTGAGTGCACCAGCACGAGCGGGGTTCGAACTCACAACCTCAGTGTTGACTGGCTAGTGATTACAGTAGTAACTACATAGACCACTCGGCCACCGAGGCCCCTCGCTTGCTTTAGATAAAACCATCTGCATTTATTTAGTAACTTTGTTCTAGCAATTTTTTAATTGGCGGTCGTGTGTTAAACCTGTCGAACATGAACTTTTCAATATTGTAATGGTATAAACATTTCGACTTGCGGATTCTAGTTCTGATTCAGTCAATTCCCACATACTTAATTTTTCTATTATAGTTTCCTTTCCTACCTAAGAATTAAAAAAATGTATAAAACACATATCAGTGGCTGTTTGTTCATGTTCACAGTAAGAGTGTTTAAGACACTTGCACGTTTAGATAAAAACAAGTGAACGTAGCTGCTTAAGACATAAAGCGCCAAGTCTACAGTTTTGGACTAAATGTGCCATACGTTAACAGCTAGAATATCTTAGATGTATCACGGTAGATGCCAAGAAATTCAGAAGTTGGCTGAGAAAATTCATGTCTTACATTTCCAAGTATTTTTCCTTTATTTGCAAATCAACTTTTTAACTTGAGATCAAAACATAGAATAAGTAATTTGTATACATGTATCATAAAGTTTTATGTCATAAAAGTAACTACAACATGCGTTTGATTGTGCATATGAAATGACACTCTGCAGACTCAATATGATAATGTGTGCCTTTAAATGCAAAACATGCGAGCCGGTCCCAACATAAATATAACCAATGGTTGTTCACTGCAATTTCATTTTGTACCAACTGGTCATTCTTTTTGTATTTTGTATCAATTGGTCATTCTTTTTTATTTTGTATCAACTGGTCATTCGTTTTGAATGAAAATGTTTTTCTCCCCAAATTGATCACATCTGCTTTTTCATTTTTGGAATACAGATGATAAGACAGGTCATATTGAATATTCTCATATTTAATAAATTAAATGTAACTAATGCTAGTGCTGACACTCTTTAATAGGGTACACTTGGCATACCAAAAAGCAATTTAGCACAACTATTCGTACATTCATTGGTGAAGAATAGAGTAGAATTGGTACGGCTTGTGCTTGAATATACACAGAATAACACATTGTATAAAAAGTTTTTAGATCATTATCTCGAAGAATTATATAAGGTAAGTCCATATTTTCAATACTGTATCCATGCATGTCTTTTTTTCAGAAATATAATACTGAATCCAAACAGACGTCGCATGAAATCTAATTATGGGTCAAGCACTTATAAGACGATGTCATTTGTTGTTAATTCAATATATAACGTTCATATAGGCTCATGTTTGAATGAAGAATACGTTAATGTAATTCTATCAACGGCATACTAATTAGTGTTTGAGTAAATTAGATTAAAAAAAAAATACCAATTTTACTAGATTACAATTTCTTTTTCTATATAAAAAAGTAAAGTTATTGAGTGATACGTATTTATACGATTAAAGGTAGACAAGTTCTAATGCAGAGAAGCACACAAGTCGATAGTTTGACTGGTCAACTCGTGGTTAGCGACAGGTTAAAAGGTTATAGTTTCGTTAAAGGGCTAGGATTAAGGTTTTGCTGTTTTCACTCTTTTTCATAATATGTTATTAAAGATTTCCCTGCTAGTTGTTTATATTTCTTGGATTATTTACCAAATTGTAAGAACATTTATTTGATCTTTTATCTTACAGTAATGTTCTATTTTTTCAGGATACCGGCTGCAGGGCGGGATTTTATATTAAGGAGGTAGATATTATGAGATTAATGATTTTTAAATAAAGCCACACATGGGTATGTAAAGTATGTGATCACTTCGTGTGTCATCTTCTAAGAATTATTCTAGAGCATAAACGTTTCAGTGTTGAATTAAAAAAACATTGACGAACATTTTTTGCTGTTACACTAAGCGTTTACTAGAAAGCGAATTTTAGTCGAAAACGGTCATATTATCTGAACGGCTCCTAAAAGATTAAGCAATTAAATATTACGTAAAATTCATTTTCCAGCCATATTTCAGACTAGCCCATGCCGTAAATTCGGTCCTGTTCAGACAATATACTTGCATTTTTAATTATGATTTGCCTATGTTTACTTCTATAATCAAAACAAACTTGCATCTAATATATCACCTTGGATATTGCACATTACAGATAGCATAAACATTGTGCATGAAGGATGTTTCTCTGTAAGACTTTCCGTCTGTTAGCTGGACAACATAACTGGAAAGAACGAAAACAAATAAATGTCATTAAGTCATTAATTTATCAGCTTTACTTGATCAAAAATTAATAAAATCTAGATTACGCCTCTTTCAATGAAAAATGTATTTCAATTGTGTTCTTTATTCATATCTTTGCAAATCGACCGATCTATAATCAATTCGGATTACTTACACTATCATGCCGAATGATTACGAGTTTGCTGATTTTTGTAGATACATGATTATTAATGGCTACTTTCCTTTCGTTCTGACAACATCTATATTAAATAAGGTATATTGTATGTTACATATGAAAACACGAAAAGCTTTTTTTACAATTAATATTCAAGCAAGAACAGGTCACAAGCAAGAACATAGTGCAAAAGATCAATGAAAATGTGGCATTGATTCTTGAAAATACAGCAGTGAAGCCGTTTACAAAAGGTGATTTGTTTATGTATAAAGATAGAGTTGTAAATGAAATCAATCGAAAGATAAAGATATCTAGGTTAACATAGTCTTCAATGTTTTGTTTCTTTGTAAATTGAACGCAGAAGTAAACCAAAAAAAAAAAAAAAACGTTTTGGTTACACACCCTTCTTCTGCTTGAAATGTCATCGACAGTTCACGAACACTCACTAAAATCATTTGTATTCATTAGATAATATTGTATTTTGATTTTTTTGTATTTTAATTTTTTTGTCGGTCTTGAGATTACATGTTCCCTAAGGTGTTACTGTTTAAGCGATTAGTCAATGATTAACCACCTGTCAACGACCAGTCAAGTTTGGATCAAGTGTTGGTCATTTATCCGTCAGACTTGGCTTGTTACCGAAATTCGTTTGATTGATCGAACGGATAGGACGTAATTATTCGTCTGATGGACTAATGATTTTAATGTGAATAATGCTATTTTTGTTAGATATATAAGTCTATGGTTATTAAAACATTTGTTGACAATAATAAAAAGTGTCAATGTGTCTCCGATTTTATGCGTTTTAGGTACTGGCATTATAATTGAGTATCTTTCTTATAACTCGGGATGGAATTTTTGATATTGAAAGGATGATATATCAAAGATCATATTTGCAAAATGTGTTTTCGTCGAAAGAATCAAATACATTTGTTTTTCTTTTTCTCAATAATTACATATAAGTATTGAAATTCAATTATTGTCATCTCAAAATAGATAGGTTTTCACTTCTTTCGAACTTAATAAATTCGAATGAACATTTTGTCAGCATCAATTAAAAGTGCCGATAACTATCGATTTTCTTTAAATTTTGTACCGGCATTTAAATTCTGTTCCGTTGGTAATTCGAGATGAATTGTTGTACACAAATTATCAGATATTCAAGTCTACAATTACATTCAAGATTGTCGATATCAAAATAGAATGACAATAATTCAGCACCGATAACCGATGATTGTTTTTGATATTTTCAAAATGAATTACGTTCACATTGGTACATCTATCAAAGCTTGTTCATCAAACTTTTATAACACAATATACGTATTTTCATGACAATTTCCGAAATACAGGCTTTTGGACTGGTGATAAATTTGGGGGCTAATACTTCAGAAAACAGGGGCATCGATCCAGTGGAAGTTATTATATAAACGATGCTAGATTTACTGTACCAGATTTTAATCTCGACAATCAATGTAACTTCATTGATGCTCGATACCAATAGTTATCAAAGATACCAGGATTATAAAATATTGGAAGTTCTAAAACCTTTTCAAAAATTCAACAGCTGATAATTTCTTGTTTTGATTTATTGTTTATATAAAACGATTCTGAAATTAGAAATAAAATCAAAATAGTTTCTAACATATCGATACTGAACAAGTTATGACGAACTGATATGAAATATTGTTATTTAAGTACTGCTGCGTTCAATTTACTTCAAAATAAGTTTAATATTTGCTTGACAGTTTCATTTTTTATGTTATGAATCGTTGCCTTGTTAAATTTTTCCTGATGTATGCTTATCAAATACAAAATGTATGTTTAGTACATTTGCAATTGAAAACAAAGAACAACTAAAACAATATAGCTATGCTTTGATTTATAAAAATCCAAAATTAATGTTAGAACTGATAAAAAAAAAAATATGCAAATATGGTGCCAAATTGATATCCTTCAAAAAATGGTTTATTCAACGATTCAATGAGTGTGAATGGCAATGTCTAACCTGCCTATTAACAAATTGTGATGTTATATCCCGCTCTTAATATGACTAGCAGATACAGCAAAACATCATAACAGAGTCGGTGTATCTATGAAATAATAATAAAAGTAATTTATGTAAGATTACGAAATTCCTGACTAGATAACTGATCAGATATACATATTAAGTTCATTGAAATATAAACCATTCAAACGAAGCATAGCAAACAACTTAGGAAATTCAATCATTGCAAGATAGGGCGGAACTTGTTTCCTCCAAAGTAGAAACAGTAACACTAGTTACTAACAAAAAGTATATTTCGTCGCAAGGTTTGTCGTGAAATTCCATGTTGAACAAATGTATACGAACTAAGAAAGATTGTAATTATTTCTGATGATATAAGTTTTACTTAAAATAAGTGTCATTGGGTAAATATCCGCAGTATAATTAGCAAATATATTATCAAGCTATCGGTGTGTGTTATTTAATCAAAAAACGAGATAGAATTTCCACTGACTTTTACTACGTTTCGCCATAAACTGTGACTTTCATAGTAACACACGATGAAGTCAAATAATTTGTGTATGCTATCGGGGTCAATAGACATACCTAAAACATATCAAAACACTGTATCGCCGAAATATCTTACATTAATCCATTAAATGAGAACATTTATAGCTTTTATCATCGCATCACACGTCCAATTAGGATATATATAATATTCATCTTAATTATGACAGACGAGTGGCACCAAATACATTTGCAATCAGATGGTTTAGGGAACAATTTAAATAAATTCAAAACAAATTTGTTTTGGATGAACGTGTAGTCTAGAGGGTTAAAAAATTATAAAAAAGAGTGTTTACACTGAAACATAAAAGATACCATTATTTACATATGCTGTACTACATTAGTTAATAACAAGCTCTTTATTTTTAGCAAGGGATCTAGTTTGAAAATCACACCACAAATATCCAAAATATATATCAAATACTAGTAAAATACTTTGCTTACTTGCTCTTAACCAGTTTCCCGTTACTTCACAAGAATCTATTAGCAACAACAGTTCCCATTCGGACAAACTCTACATCCTCCTAGCAACACAAGACAGAAGTCAAGGCAAATAGGGAGGCGAAGTAACTCGATGGTAGATCTGACTGAGTCCAACTGACCCACTTGGTGTGATGAGTCATTTTAGATATTCAGATTATAATTGTATATGGCAAAATCGCATTTCACTTTATTTTACATTTGACTACTAGGCTGGTAATAAAGTCGAAAACAAATTCGTTATCATAAATTTATTTTAGATGAGGCAAAAAATGGAATACAGGAAAAATATATTTTCAAGCACCTGTTTATCTGGGCAGTACTTATGAATCGAAAAGAGTTAGCAATGTTGTTTTGGAACAAAGAAGAAAAAGACTATATTTGTAAGTTTGTAATAAACATTTTTTTTTTTTATAAACAGGAATCATGCAGTCCCTATCAAGTTAGCGAGAATAAAAAATTGTGTATGTATTTTGAGTCAAAACAACATGATCAGTTTAAATTTGACTCAGTCTCCATGTGAATCAGCCTATCTAACTCAATTATATAATGATCCTACATAATTCCAGGTTATATGGTAAAATGATTCATTGCTGTAAAATCAAAAGATTTAATTAATAAGTAAAAAAAAATTTCAGTTTTGATTAAATTCAGATAGTCACCTTTAAAAGAGGGACGAAAGATACCAGAGGGACAGTCAAACTCATAGATCGAAAACAAACTGACAACGCCATGGCCAAAAATAAAAAGACAAACAGACAAATAATAGTACAGATGGCGCAACATAGAAAACTAAAGACTAAGCAACACGAACCCCACCAAAAACGTGGGGTGATCTCAGGTGCTCCGGAAGGGTAAGCAGATCCTGCTCCACATGTGGCACCTGTCGTGTTGTTTATGTTATTACAAATCCGGTAAATAGTCTAATTCGGTAAGTCACATTCGTGAAAAGGGAAGGATATTGTAGTTACGACATAAGGAACATATCCGATATCATCTGTGAAACGGTTATTCCATAACGGTCAACCAACTCGTGATGGCGTCCGTAAAATTTACGAATGGATGATTTCAACTTCACCATTTGGAACTCTTGGCTTAACAGCTTCCTTGTGAGCAGCAACCCTCTTTCAAGGAAATCATGATAGGAAACACAAGCCCGGGAATATCGTATCAATTGGGAGATATATACTCCGTATGCAGGCGCTGCTGGAATGTTGCTACATAGAAATGGAAAGTTCACAATTGGGAAGCTGAAATCATCTCTTTTGTCGTAAAGTTTTGTTTTCAACCAACTCTCATTGTCAATTTCTAGATGTAAGTCAAGATATGAGGCAGACTTAACTGTATCTGTAGTATCCTTTATCTCTAGTTCGATGGGATAGATTCGTTCAACATAGTCACCAAATTTTGTATTATTTAGTGAGAGAACATCATCTATATAGCGGAACGTAGAGTTAAAGGACTTTAACTATTTCTATAACTTTTTCAAATCAACTTGGATTTTCAGAAAACTTTGCAGCAATCACAATTTTACATCGAACTCAAAGATTCCAGGTTGTTTGGTTATTTTATTTTTTTGCTGCCAAAAAGGATTTAATTGATAGGTAAAATAAGCTAGAATTTTGAGTTTGGACTAAATTCAGAAAGTCACCTTTAATTTTGTTTCATAACTATTCCAAATCAACTTGGATTTTCATAAAACAGATAGTCACCTTTACCAATCATTATAATTTTTTCAAATCAACTTGGATTTTTCATCAAAATCTTTAGCTGTCTCAATTATACATTAATCAACAAAAAAATACTAGGTTAACTGGTAATTTGATTTAAATAATTAAGTCAATATGGTCAAAATATTTGCTTTTTTTTCCCTATTGATTTAATCCTTAAATTTGTCAAGAATACACCAAACGACCAAACAACCGGACATTCTGTATGAGCAATGTGTTATTGAAACAGCTGTAGAGTTTGATGAAAATCCAAGTTTATATGGAATAGTAATAAAAATAATTAAAGGTGACTGTCTGAATTTAGTCCGAACTCAAAATTCTAGCTTTCTTACCAATTGATTGATTGATTTAATTGATTAAATCCTTAAATTTGACAACAATAAATCAAACTACCAACCAACTTGACATTCTCTAAGCTCAATATATAATTGTGATGGCTGTAAAATTTTATGAAAATTCAAGTTGATTTGGAAACAAATATAGAAATAATTAAAGGTGACTATCGGAATTTAATCAAAACTTAAAATTCTAGCTTTTTTTTTACCTATTAATTGAATCATTTAATTTGGCAGCAATGAATCAAATTACCATAGAACCTGGCATTATGTAAAATCAATATATAATTGAGTTAGATTGGCTGATTCAGACCAGTCTAGACTAAACTTAAAGATCAAGACTGGTTAAGACTAGTCAAGACTGGTCGAGACAGGTCGATACTTGGTGAAGGCTGGTCGAGACAGGTCGAGACTGGTCAAGCATTTGTCGAGACAATTACAGACTTTACCCATATCATCAAGTACTAAATCAGACTTATCAATTAAGTCGAGACCAAAGTCGAGTACAGTTTAGAAATGTTTAGTACAGGCAAGAACTTTCGAGATTATGTGGAGTCTTAACAAGTAAAATATGTCTTTTAAGACTCTGAGTAGTTTGTAGTGATACTTGTTTATAAAACATAAATTGATATGATACAGCTTATATTGTTATTTCATTGTATTTAATTGTTTCAATTCAACGTATCTTACAATCCCATTTAGTTTCAGCCTTATATGCAAGCTCGCTAGCCAAAAAGCTCGCACAAAATGCCAGCGAGGAATCATACACTGATGAACAGGCAGCTTTAGTGGAAAATTCAAGGTAATCAGAATTATCTGGATATCTAACAGTATTGTATACATGTTTAGAAGATGAAATACAATATACGTCAATATTTTTTACAATTTATTCTACATTTCATAATATTTTATTTTCATTAGAAGGTCAACTTGTTCAAGCTTACTTAAATTGATATCCTAACCCATGTTAATTGAATGAAGAATTTTCCAAAATTTTGTTTATGTTATTGTCAGCAACGTATTCACCTTTCTTTGTAGAACATTTTAACTGGTGTGCTTTATACAAGCTTACCGAAACTACATTCAATTGAGCGATTGATGTGTTGCTCTGTTAGTAGTCTTTTAACCCTCCTTTTTAACAAAACGATTTATTACACGTACAACACATGTATTTTGAGCACTCGGTCATCTGTTCCAGTTGTAATACCACTAAATCATTGTACGTCACATCCGGTTGCATACGAAATTTAAAATAGGTTGAGCATTTTTTTTCTTCTTGAATTTGACAGTTGTAGGTAATATTTATCCTACATTTCATTGCAGTTAAACATTTCTGGGTCATAAACAGACATCTTTGGTATTTCAAAGCATCATTATTATTTTTTATTTTGGATTTCTAAAGAATATTTTGGAAACTTGATGTAACATGGCTACTTATGCTTGTACACTGTTAAAAAGAAGTAAACAGTTGATTGGTTAACATCCAGTGATGGTTATTTTCTTACATGCAATGAAATGTTATGTGAAATTAGTCGATAGTACTGGACACGATAAAAATTTACTCATGCCTAGTATTTCTTTATTGAAACGTAGAAAAATTCTGCACAATTTTTTGAAAAATGCCAATTTATCAAAGACTAATAGGGGGAAATCATTGGTGGTATAACACCTCCATTATTTATTGCAGTTTTACAACTGCATTAAAAAAAAAGTAAAATAACAAAAATAAGATTCAGTCGAAATTTAAAATAAATGTTACATGAAATATATACAGGCATAGCTCAGGTCTTAAAGACCAAACAGCCTATTGTTTATGCGCATCAACTAACACAACTTGGTAGTGACATAAAAGCTGTATGACGTTGTTTCTAGTCATAAAAAAACGTCAAATTATAACGTCCTATTTCGCGTTTTTCACGGAATCCAACATGGTGTACCCTTAAAATTACGTCTTCCAAGAAAAGTGGAATTAAGCGTCGCGCTGATATTTAGTGGAAATTAAACACGAATGGACACAAAAGATACTACACTATCTGTGACTTCCGTACTAATAAAATAATGAAATATAAATTTTGAACTCGGCTTTTTGCATTTGCGCCGATCTGCATTTAACTTTTTTTCTTTCACTTGCGCCTATTTTGTCTTTCATTTGTGTACAGGTAAATTATAGGTGAAAGTTATTTTTTTTTATTTATCAAATAAACCTCTTCCCGTTTATCCAGCTATACATGTGTTATGAATTATCAACTATATAATGCATATAACTGTTGTCCCTTGCTCACGGTGGGAGTAGAATTTCGAGCAGGATAAGTCAATTTAAAAGATATCTGTGCATTTTGCTTACATCAATACAAATCACCGAGTAAATTTCTATTTACAGCATTTTAAAGCACCACAATAAAATCCATAAAAACGTATTACAATGAATTAATTATTATCTGTTCTTGCCGAGTATTTTATATGCTACACATCTGATATATAAAAAAGAAGATGTGGTATGATTGCCAATGAAACAATTCTCCACAAGAGACCAAATGACACAGAAATTAACAACTATAGGTTACCGTACGGCCTTCAACAATGAGCAAAGTCCATACCGCATAGTCCGTTATAAAAGGCCTCGAAATAACAAATGTAAAACAACGGACCGTGCAAGGGCTGTATAGCCAGTCAAGGTCGTTAAAAACTTCCATCGCCATGTAAAACAATTCAAATGATATATTCCTTTCTCGTCATTTCATCTTTTCTATACGTGTTGTACTTGCCAACAACGAAGTCCATCTTTTCTTTCTCGCGTCAAACCGAAGTTCTCGAAAAATATGACGAAATTGATCTTAAACATAAGGGAACACTGTTTATATATATCCATATATTACCAATATATATATACATTCTAGGTTTACTGCATGTACATGTATTTAATCGTAAAGCAAATATAGTATCGGCGCTAGTGATAACAAAATAAAATAGGCACTGATGAAAGAATCAAATCCGCGCAAATTAAAGATCGAAAATGTTTTTTAATCGGCGCAAGTTTCGTACGTCCGTGTAACTTTACACTGGTAAATTTTAATGAGTTACGCTTAGAATTTGAACTTATGTGATTTTCAAAATTGAGTTTCAGAAGGTTAAGCCGATAAACAATACTTTAGAGAAGTTTCGATATACTGGCAACGTATGTATGTTGAGATTAACTTATTTCTGGATGATTCTTGTAAAATAATATCTGATCTTGCAATGAAGTTAAATTTTATTTATACTGCTTAATTGACAAAATCTTATAGTAAAAATAAAAGTGATAAATGTTCATTGTCTTTTGTCATTTGTTTCATTTTAAATAGTCTTAAGGAGAAATAATAAAGATTTCGCCTGATCTCACTGAAGCTGAAGGCAAAAAATATAAGAAATTAATACTCAGTGAATGTGAATTAAAATCAGAATTTACGGTGTTTAAAACTTATCTTGTATGACCAAAAAAATTGCTTCAAGAATAAGATCCAACCTTAAATTTCTCACTTTCGAAAAGCTATAATGACCGGAAAGATTGAAAACAAATTTCGATTTTCAATGCGGGCAATTTATACATACAGCCTTGTCTTTGTTTTAATTGCAAAAATGAGCAATTTAGATACATAATGTTTCATCCTGTTTTGAGAAATACTTTATAGTTTTCAACGGAAAATAATTTCTTAGATTCTAAATTATTTTTTGAATTAAAAACTTATTTGTATTTCATATTTACTATCTCGTTTATTCAAAACACGTGAGGTATAGTAATAACAGTGATCGTATTTTATGATAAATGGATGTATAATGTTTTAGAATCAAAAACTTTAATTCATATATTATACCTTTAATTTTAATGTCCTTATATTTCAAATATTCATAAATAATTAATCCACAAGCTAGATGGAATAATTTGTATACGCTCGTCTTAGTCGGAACACATAATGGTATAATGAAGTCCGTCCGTGCTTATGTCTGTCCGTCTGTCAACAGTGGCGAAGGAGTGCGCTAGGGCAAACTTCTGAAACTGACGCGACGAAAATGCCCACACATCTAGTCTAATATAGTCAAATAGTCTGTAAGTTAGCCAGTGTAATCTTTCATTTCTCTTTTTATTTTAAAAGATTTTGCTAATGAATGGGAGAGGACAAAAACAGACTTTCCTTTCAAACGCGGCGTAAAAGGTTATTCGAACAATTTTTCATTCCGACGGATTTGTCTGAAGGTTAATTTTGTGCGGCAACAACATCATGAGATCTGATACTGATACATACATGTGATCTCTTGTATTACCAGATAATAAAGTAGATGAATATAGGTGTTATTCTGGAAAATTTAAATGTGGGTTTCAAACGTTCAATTTGAGATTTTTTTCAAATAGTGCGCCACCAAGGAAAACAAGTACTATGACGTCAGATTCAATATTCTGAAGAACGACAACTCTTTTCTTCAAAACGAACTAGAAAAAAATATGAAAATTACTCATAACTTTTTTGAAAGGTCGGTGACATATACTTTTTTTTGCTTTATTTTATAGAGTACACATGGCACTTTCTTTCTTGAAATTTTTATGAAGAAATCACTGGTAGATATTTTTTAATACTGGAAACGTTTTTCATTCTAACGTTTTATTTTTGGCGGGAATGAAATAAACTATTTTTTCAAAGATCAAAACAATCAGAGTCTTACACTCTTGAACCTGTATTTGATAGACACAAATCTACTGTTTAACGTGAAACAAGAATTATGCTTGTAGGTTTGATATAAAGGGATTTTTGAGAGTTTAAATAACAAGCAAATATCATGTTAATATTCGAGAAGACACAAAACTGAGGTTGCTATAGTTACAAAACTAAGTAGGTGACCCCTAATTTTTTTCATCATATTTTGTTCCTTAAATCATGAAATACCGTCACACAAAATCTTAAGGAAAAATCACTGGTTGAACTGAATAGGCTGTTTGGTCTTTAAGGCGAATGAACAACATGTTAAAACATTTCTTTATTTTTCCGGCTATCCTGGAATTAAACAAATGGCACTAGAAACGTTATACCTTAAAACAAATAACGTATTTGCCTTTGGATATTTTATGATTTTGATCCCTTTAACATATTTCCCAAATTATTTATTCATTTATTTATTCATTTATTTAATTTCTTTATTGATTGATTTGTTTATTTATTTATTTATTTATCCATCTATTTATTTATTTATTTATTCATTTTTTTATTTATTTACTCATTCATTCATTTATTTATTCATTTATTAACTCTTTCATTATTTAATTGATTCAGCGATTAATGTTGATTGCTTCATTGTAACATCTTTCGAACTGATACCATAGAGTTTACAATTATTGTAAAATCAGGGCATTCCTTCGATTCAAACAATTTTGTGGCTTTTTAATGGGACATTTGCTCTATTTTAAATGAATATTTGTGCCTTTTCTACGGAACATTTGAGATTTTTTACAAGGCATATGTTACAGTTACCGTCGTGAAAATTTTAAAATTAAATTGATTTAAAAACAAATGCACATTTATGTATTTATTCACAGCTTTAAGTTATCATTTTCGTAATAAATTTTCTTAATGTTCTTTTGGGAAAATTGATTTCAATAAGTCCATGATAAATTTAAAATTTACGTATTATTCAGTAAGTGAAAAGAAAACAATAATGTCTTTGCCCTAAAATCAAGTAACTTAAGTTTATTTTGTGAAATGAAAATAACATATTGTGTAACATTTAACCATCGCACTTATCAAATAAGATATAAAACATTAGTATTTGACAAAAAGAGATCTATTTTGAGTATTCACAAAGTATATAATTGATAGTGCATAAGGAATAAATGGTTATAAAATTATACACTCGACATATAAAAATACAAAGTATTAAACATGTTAGTATATCTCCTTATAACAGTCATTAATCTGTCTTCAAAGTCAACGTACATGAACATCAGGTGGTTAAACACAATTAATTTGGGTCTCGACAAATTGAAACAATTTCAGAGATACTCTGATGGAAGAGGTGATTGTACGACTTTCCTGACTATCAAAGGAATGTACGAAGAATATTGCTTTCAGTATTGCAATCCCCTGACTTTGAAAAATGTAGAGATTACAGGTATACATATATATAGGTAAAAATGTACGGTCAATTTGAATCAGGTGTATCAAAGTTTAGAAGGCAAATGTCATTATTATTTGAACCCAAATGTCCTGTTGTCTTACAGATAAAACAATCGCAAACGTCCTACACTCTTTCACATACTATAAGCAATAAATGTAGGTCAACTATGTTTGTTAAAAGAAAGGAATGAAAGGTGTGCATGCTCGGCTTGCAGGTTTTATCTGACAGTGACTTCATTTTCATGGTTCTTTATTAAATGTTACGTTTTTACGGTTTGTCTATTTATTTGATACTATAAGTAATAAGTGTACTTTAGCTGGTGAATGGATTTTTTTTGACAAGCGGTTTATATCAGTAATGTAACTCTTTCTAAATTTATTAAGGAGGATTACAAAACGCATTTGATTAAAATCAAATATGTCAATAAAGGTTTTGATTTTGTAAATATTGCCGGTTTTTTAATGATCATTCTGTTAAAGAACAAATTCCTTGATATTTTGATTATACTTAACTCCCTCTGATTTGTTAGGTTTACAAGGAAATATGTGTTTAACTATGGCGAAGTGTGCAAACATGTAAATATCAGTGACAATACACCTACGTCATGAATTTGCATTAATTCCGAATATTTTTGTGGCCCCAGCTCCTATGTTATAACAGGAGACCTTAACATCGTTCGTGACCGAGAGTTGAAATATCTCCTCAGTAAAGGACCTAAATATCGTCCACCGTCAATTATCAATTTGAATACGATTCACTTCGTACTTACTGCTCGAAATGGATAAAGCGAGAAAAAGCTTACAAGAAATCCTTAGATTCTCTTTTTAAGTCAGTAATGAACATACTTGATAAACGTACTCATCATGTAATGGAACATTTTACTCCTATCAACAATCATAAAAGCCCGATTCATCAAATATAAGCTAAAAAATCTCGCCAAGAAATTTGTTTTTGTCCCTGCTGGTAAGGCTGCAAATAATTTCATTATTTTTTGACGTAAACTTTACTTTGAGGTTTTCCCAAAGGATATCACCAATTTACCAACATTTCAACTGGCTCCATTGAAGGAAGATGACATCTGTAGCAAACATAAACTTTGAGCTATCTCTTTACAAGCAGAACTAAATACAATAAAAAAAACTATGTACTGGTTTCCGAAGCTACACAAAACACCTTACAAATATAGAGTTATTTCGTCTTCAAGCCATTGTTCTACGCCTAAATTGTTTATTCAACTTATTTGTACAATTGGTACAATCATACACCTGGTAATAAATTGTTCAATTTAAGCCTATGAAAATAGTCGAATTATTTACTTTTTGGGTGTCAAAATTTCGTTAAGAGTACTTGATAATTGCATGCTTATATTGGTAATATCGACCTATATACAACTTTGCCTCATTTTTTTATTAAGAAAAAATTGATACATTTAATAAAATGGGCATTTAAAAAATCAGAATGCGAATATATATGTTCAAACTCTATTAGGTCATTTTTTTAGTAACAACAAACAAAAGAACTATGTCATTTGGACCTGCTTTGATACTATAACTGCCCTTGCATTTTTACTGCAAAACATTTTCGTTCGCTTTGGAGATTTCGTATATCGTCAAGTTATCGGAATTACAATGGGAACTTTCTGCGCACCACTTATTGCGGACTTGTTTCTGTTTTGTTATAAGTTACAACTTATGACTAAAATCAGCAAAGATTCATCAAAACAACATCTGATACAAAAATTTAATAACACTTTTAGATATTTGGATGATATATTGGCTTAAAATAATGACCACTTCAGATTGTACACTAACGAGAATTATCCTGCTAAACTAACTTTTAATAAGGCTAATACTAACAATGAACACTGCCCTTCTTGGATCTTGATATATATATCTTTAACAAGAAGCTTAATACCAAAATTTATGATAAAAGAGATGATTTTCCTATTGTTAATTATCCATTTTTAGACGGTGACGTTTAGTTTCACAAGCCCCTAAATAACAAATTCCAAAAACAATTCAAACGAGAAAACTTGCGTCCTACTTTATGCACAAAACAACATAAGACATAACATTGACATAACGTGGTGGTGTTGATCATGTTTGATGGCAAACTAAACTCTCCCTTAATATGGGATAGTGGTGTAACAGTACAACATAAGAACAAAATAAAAAAATAATTTTAAAAGGCCTTACTCATCAGATCAATACAAAGCAGAAAGACATTTAACAAAAACACTATCCGCACGTCACAGGGTATTTATAAAATTATTTTTTGGTGGGATCAATGATATAGTATTGAGAATGGAAACGGGGGGTTAATCGAAAAGAAAACAACCCAAGGTCACAAATAAGTTTTCAATACAACTAGAAAATTCCATATCCGGAGTTTGGCTTTAGCTTTCCCCTAAAAAGGTGAACTAGTTAAGAGAAAATATACGTCATACTAAACGCCGAAACTTATCGATGAATCATAATTGAAAACAGACATGCCTAGCTATTTTAAAAGCTACTGCTATTCGATTGCACTTATGATTTACAAGGTGATATGCTGTATTTGAATGATAATCATAATGTTCATTTGTAATGGCATCATTTCAGTTATTATGAAGACCTTGCCTACAGTGTGATGACACAATTATATTTGAGAGAAAAAAAGCAGGCTCGGCAACTTTTGGTTACACAAGTGAAAAGATATAACTGCATTACAATTTTTGAAATAACAGAAAAGTTTACACTAATGAAGTTTATGGGACATGCTGCATGTCAAACCCAGCTGAATAAAATATGGAATGGTCGTATTTTGAGTAATACATCAAATCTGAAG